ATAAGTGTACTACTCAATTATACTTACATTAATTTATTAAGTACAATATATACTTTAGTTTATACAGTTATCCTATTAGTTTCATTTTCATTAATATTAGTTATACATTTATCCTATTAGTTACATTCCCATTAACTAATATGCATTAATACATTTATCCTATTAGTTTTTTTTTGGAAGAATGGGGCTTAGATTGAAATCATAGCATTCATATAGGGGTTAAAAGAACAAAGAACCACAAGTAACCATCCGCCCTTTGCGCCAGACTCTGAGTTAATCACCTTTGACAAAACAATATAACTCGATGATCCTAAAATGGGCATAATTGAGCCAATGATGGTTACCGCAGAACTCTCATCACCCAATCCTAATGCAAAAGTCTTACAGAACCAAATAAAATAAAAACAAAAAACAACAGTCTCAACGTGGAAATTAAAATGCAAACCAGCAATAAAATAAAAGCCGAAATTTGTCTTCTTCAGCAGCAGCATCACTCGTAGGACCGGTGGGTCTAAGCACTTGGACCCGCCGTCTCCCCGTTTTTTGCTTTATCTAGAGCCATCTTCTCTCATGTTGTGTCCTCTTTTACCTGTTCCTCCCATATCCTTCTGCATTTCTGATCAACTGATACTTCCCCATCGCTTCCGTTGCCTTCTTCCTTGGTACCACTATTTTCTGTACCAGCTGTAGTCGCTCTTCTTCCCTGTCCCTCAGAGCCTTCACCCTCTTGCAAAGTCCTCCTCTGTTGCCTTGGACCCGCCTGTTTTTACACCAACCACTTATTACCCCTTGTGGGGCTAGTCTCCCCCCCTGCTCGAAGTTCAACCCCAAAGGTTTTTTCCAAAGCTATATCCTCCTCATATTTCCAGGGACAAAGTTTCTCAGATTGTCCAATCACCCCACAAATGAAACAGAAGTTACGTAACTTTTCGTATTTAAAATCCACCTAGTGTCCCACACCCCCTCTCGAAAGGGTAGAACCCTTCTTTAAGGGCATCCTCACATCCATCCTTACCCTAATCCTCAAATAAGAGTTCCATTTTTGCTTAAAGTGGCTCTCATCAAACCTAATAAACCCCTCAATATAGTTTCCCACCCTTCTAGCGGTACCTATATTCATAAAACTATAGGGAACATTGTGCACTTGCACCCAGAACTCTGTTTCAAACAAATTCATCCTATGGGGAATACCTTAAGCAGTAATAAATTCCTCTCAAACAACCAAGGACCATCTTCCAGAACACGATTCATATCCACTATATGATAAAAAGTAAACAAATACCTCTTATCGCCTATCTCTTCAACTGACATTTGTTTGCCTGATCGCCAGATTGAAGCAAAAAGATCCTTCATGGTCTGAAACTCGATCTTCCGATCCGTGAGAATCACTCCCACCACCGGAAATTCAGCCCCCTTTGTTGTTGGATCAAGGTCTCCATCCTCCTCATCATCAAAATTTGGGTTGTTGTTATCATCTCCTATGGCCATCCTTTTGTACTGATGCACCACCTCTTCCATTCGTTCAAAAGCCTAACTCGAACCAGACGAGGAGACCCGCCGAAGCATGACACCGCCGCCGTCCGCTGCACACTCTGTTGCGTATCAATCTTCGTTCTCCACGATGGCCGTCGCCGTCTGCCGTACTTCGTTCGAGCCGAAGACGGAAACAACACGAAGCTACCCTAGCGGCGCCGAGAGCCAGACCTAGAGAGAGTTATAGTTCAAAAATTTTAAATGTCATTTATCCTATTAGTTACGAAATATGTTTATATTATAAATTATATATGTTAAGTATATTTTCCTATAGGTTACATTTTCATATTTACATTCTCATTTTACATTATTCATACTTAAATATTTCTTACATTCTCATTTTACATTATTCTCATTTTAGTTAATTTTAAATTGTTAATAGTAGTTGCATTGAAATTGCATTTACTATACTCTCGTTTACTATACTTGTTACATTATCATATTAATAATTAATCATATTTGTTAGATTTTAATATTAGTTCAATATTAGTTGCATTTAAATATCAGTCACATTTAAATATTTCTTACATTATCTTTTTACAATGTTTGCATTTTAGTTACATTATAATAGTAGTTGCATTTAAATTGCATTTACTATACTCACATATTAATTGCATTTACTATACTTGTCACATTATCATATAAAATTTTCTCATATTTGAATGTTAGTTGCATTTAAATTTTAGTGACATTTTAATATTTCTTACATTCCCATATTACATTATTCTCATATTAGTTACATTTTAATTTTAGTTACATTTTAATATTAAACTCGCATTTTAGTAACATTTTAATATTAGTTACACTATAATATTAAACTCACATTTTAGTTACATTATCATATTAGTTACATTTTTATATTAAAGTCACATTTTAGTTACATTATCATATTAGTTATATTTTAATATTGAACTCACATTTTAAGGTTAAACTCACATTTTAGTTACATTTTTATATTAGTTACATTTTAATATTAAACTCGCAATTTAATATTAAACTCACATTTTAGTTACATTTCAATATTAGTTTCATTTCAATTGTACACACATTTAAATATTTGTTAGAATTTAATATTTGTTACATTTAAAGATGTCGCAACCTAGACATTCTGTAGATTTGGGTAATCTCCAACGCAACAGAAAGAAGGAGATTGCGAAAGGACATCCTCAAAGCCGAGGCAAAGGTAAAGACATGCCCGATCTTCTTCTCAAAACCGGGATGGTTTTGATACGGATTATCAACGGAGAGATGTGATTTCCGACGAGCAACTGGCTCAACTTTTTGCCGGTCCAAAGACATGGGCGGTTTGATTGAAGATGGCGAAGCAAGTGTTGCCATATCTTATTGATAGTTATCCGTTGTATTTCCGGGATACAATGATGATACATGAGTCGACTCATATGAGATAAAATAAAATAGTGGATATCCATTCACCCTTAAAGTGGTGCAATGATGTTGAAGAATGAATTTATTTCCATTAATAATGTGAAATCAGAAGGAGTTGGCCACTCCTTTGATAAAGTTGTAATCCTAGCTAGGACGTTAATGAGATGATTATTTTATACACCGAGGGAAATGAATTGTCACTTGATAACAAATAGGGACGGTAACTCGACCTGTGTGATTGGAGATCCCATGAACTAAGTTCACATGGGTAATAACAAGTCTTTTATTTGTTCTGCTAGCCTATTTTGAATGTTCATTTCTAGGGTGAGGTTAGACTGCATTCCTTTGTGAGGATGAGCTAAAACTCTTAATGATTATCATAGCCCTTATGGGTGGTGTGTTAAGTGCGGGACACACTTGATAAGATCACCTATATGAGTGTGAAGTGGGGCCGCCTCCATGAAGCATTGACAACGCTTTTGAAGCATTCAAAAAAAACCAGGCATGCGCACGGCCGAAAGGCGCACCATTAGCGCGAGGAATTATGGGGGTGAGACAAGACCATTAAGCCCCTGATTTACCATAGTAGATTCTTGGTTCATAGAAACTATATGTTTCACCAAAAGCTCAGTTTATAAAGACTTAATCGTCTGGTTTATAGTCTAAACGCTTATAATTCAACTAGTTTAGTAACGCGCGTTGCGCGTTCGTGGTAATGCCCAAGGCCATTGTAGGACACTAATTCATCAATTTAGGTTGAAGTGTTGAACGAATATACGAATACAATATTCGAATACGTAGTTTCTTATTTACTGATAAGCAATGATAAACAATAAAGTATTTACTTTAGGATAGATACCCATCCATTTAGTCCAAACAAAAAACGATTGAAAATTGACAACAATATGGACTTCGTTATTTGTCTTGCTTGCATTTTGTGGTCTCTCGGCAATCTCAGTTTTAATTTTATGCATGACGACTTTCAACAAATCAATTCATTAAGTAAAAGTTGATTGAGATGAGGATACCTAAATCAATGATTAGCGGGATAAGCAGTTTTACCAAATCAGAATATTGTAATAAATAATTAAATATAGGCACTGTATATAAGCAGTTCAAGGATGTTATTGATATTTAATATAGAAGCACTAAATGAGACTTTTACATTTACAAAGATGTGTTTTGTGGACATGTTTTTGGTTGCCTGAAGTACAATATCTACTAAAAGCAACTCTATCAAGCAATAGCTAATAGAGAACTAACACCTTAATAGAAATATACATGTATGCATAAGTTTATTCAAGAAGTTTACTTGAAGCGGTAATATAATTTAAATGTTTTAGCAAATCTGTTAAATATATCACTTTCCTAAACATATAAGTTCAACTATTCATACTTTTAAATGTTTTTCACTCATTATATTATTTCAAATTTGAGCACACTTGTTAAACGTAAACATCACTCGTAAGCATGAACGGCGTATTTTAGAACATTGTTGGTGGGTAGGGGGTTAAAAAGGATGAGACTAAAGATATAGAACCAATTCAAAAAAGTTATAGAAAAATATGAATAGAAGTACTTATAAGGATAATCAGGAGATAAATTCAAAAAAAGGAGATGGAGATGCCCCAGAAATACTAAAGAAGCTAATGAATCTAAAGTTGGTTTATTTTTGTTCACGTGAACTCAGCAAATAATATGTCAAATTGTCAATTACTAATTATGTTACTAATGTCAAAACATAAAAAGAACACCAAATTTGATCATAATATCTACATTTACATAATGGAAAAAGAGATGTTAAATTATAACAAGGTTCTGTATACATAAAAAAGAACACCAAATTTGATCAATAAAAGTACAAACCAGCTCCAAGGTCTACCCTTTCTTAGGAAATAAGGGTTTTTTCTCCCTATGACTATCGATGCTAGTGTTAGTGGAGACCAGAATTTCTGCAATCTGAATTTTGGGGGCTTCCATCACCTATGCAATCTGAATTTGTCTCATCACATGACCACCTAATTCTAATATCCAAATGCAAAAGATTAAAAAAAAAACAATAACAAGATAGATATCGTTACTTGGAAAGAGGCCTGACCTGACCTGTTAGTGCTAGTTTCAACTCAGTTTCAATATGTTCACACGAATTGAAGTGTTGAACCCATCTCTGGTTGATTGGCATAAAGTCAATCTTAAAGCTAGACTCTTTCACACAATAAATGAGAGATTGTGTGTAAGGGTTTTCAACCAAACAAATGAAATAGAGTAGAGATAAAGAGTAGAGGATGCTCTTTTAAGAGTCTAGTTAAAGAAGACACAGGCCAGTCCAGCAAAGAAATGGAGGAGAGAAGGCCTAAAGATAGCCCAGATTCAGACCAACCTTAAATCGTTGGGTGAAGGTCCCCTCAATCTTAGGAGAGATCCACGCACACCATCGGCTTTCAATTCACCTTCGAAATCCAGATCTGTCGAAGAAAAAGGACATTTCCGGCGAGCATCTGCTTCAGTGAGGTAGGACTCCATCAGACCGTCACAAATCCATATCAAGATCCATCATGAGCGTACAAATCCTCCATGACCTTTCCAGAGCAGGGGACCAAACTTCCAAAAATCAACCTCAAGCAGTACATACAGTAAGTAGGGTGGTGAAGCCATTACACCGATTCTACCAAGTCAAGAATTCTAAGCGGCTAAAACGGAAGAGAGGAGCTGAAACGGTAAGGGGTTCAAGGAAATAAATGAAACAGAGTACATATAAAAGAGCGTGGACTTTCCTCCGTAAGGTTATAACGTTAAAGTCGCGAGCAGGTCAGCAATGTACCACAAAGTAAACATAAAGTACAGTAAGATTATGCACCAGAGACACCAACATTTTTTATCACTGTTTAACCCTGACAATATTTGTAAATAAATTTGTAAATATTGTAGAGATATGTTTGACAGGAAGCCGCAGAGCTGTACAAACGTGGCAAACGCTGAATTCAATATGTTTGACAGGAAGCCGCAGAGCTGTACACGTCGATTATTGCTATTCCTACATCGCACGTCCGTGTTACCGGCCGTCGTCATCTTACTACTCCTGTGCTTCACCGTCTGCTCTGCTCCATCGGAAACCAAAATGGTAAGTTTTGCCTCCCCGTGGATTCTGTTCTCAACCGCATCATTTATGTCCGATTCAATCCTTTCTATCTGTGTATTCAAAATTCAAGAGTCTTTCAGTTGCTATGCTATTGCTTTAGCTAGGGGTGTTCGTCGGTTCGGTTTTGGCGGTTTCGGTTTTATCGGTTCGGTTTTAGTCGGTTTCGGTTTTTAGTCGGTCGGTTTTGATCGGTTTCGGTTTTAGTCGGGCGGTTTTAGCGGCTTTAAAAATAGATGAAACCGAAAATCGGACCACAAAAATTGAGACAATTTTGGTCAATTTTAGCTATTTTTGCCGGTTTATTTTCATTTGACCGGTTTTTTAAGCCAAAAGTACAAACCGTAAACCGAATAACCGATGAATTAGTCAATTTCGGTCGGTTTCGGTTTTATCGGTTCGGTTTTGGTCGGTTTCGCTTTTGGTCGGTTTCGATTTTGGTCGGTCGGTTTCGGTCGGTTTCGGTTTTTCGGTTTTTTTGTTCACCCCTAGCTTTAGCCATGGGTCCTCTGGTAACTACTATTCATGACAATTTCTGTTCACCCAAAGATTGCAGAATTTCTTTGCAAATATAGACTTCCACGCGTGGAGTTTAAAATGGCATTGTGGAATTCATTTGGAATTCGGACACAACTAAAGCCATATTCCAATAGAAAACCAGATTTTCAATTAAAATTTTACCTTTGTTCTAAAATGTCTAATTTAGCTCAACTCTTCATTTTGCCAACTCTCCACTTTAAGAACTCATTTACAAATGAATTTCACCTGCCCTACTTATCATTACCTAAAGACTCTGAGTGTACATCTTTTATATACTATCCTCCCTTCTTTAATAGTTGCAAGTTGCAAGCGTTTGACTTTCACGTTTGCCAACGCACAACTTTGACTGAAATTATATTTAATTACGAATTAGTAAAAATCATAAAAAATTAATATTTTGAAATTTCACATGAATAGAACTTTAATAAAATTTTATACATAATAATTTGATTATAGATATTAGTAGAAAATCATGGTCAAAGTAAGGTGTGTAAATAGTGCAAAAATCCTAATGTTGCCACTTTTAGGAAACGGAGGAAGTAATATATATTCAAGATTTTATAAAATGGTAATAGTAACACACGTAGTAATAAACTAGGACTATTATGTTTTGGGAAAATGGAAACTAATAATCCAACATTTGCACCTCATCTTCATTCACTGGTCCCTGACCGGTTGATGACCTGCTATTCCAAGTTATTTTCTTATCTTTGCAAAATATTATCTTTGTGAAAGGTGGAATTTATGATATAATAGTTTGCAGAGATAAGAAAATAACTCGGAGTCATCAACCGGTCGGGGACCAATGAATGAAGATGAGGTGCAAAGGTTGGATTATTCATGAATAATGAAAAGGTCGGATTATTAAAAGAAGACCGCTAAAAGGTTGGATTATTAGTTTCCATTTTCCCTTATGTTTTTTATTTCTTAAATAGGAGTAGTTACTCTAGTATTACCAGACTTTAAATTAAATTAAACATGACATATTTTTTAGTTCCAAAATGTTTTTACTCATATTTCGGGAATACTCCCTTAACTATAGCAAAATGTTACGTGATTGTGGGAAAAATGTAAAACTCCTATTTTCACAGATCACTGACATTAGGGATTTAATTTTTTTCTATTATTATTATTGTCAAAAGGTACATGATTTTAGTATGTAACTGAGCGTCGGTTTTAGGTCACCCAGCATTGTTTTTTTAGTAAATAACTCAATCATTTATTTTACAATGCTCAAGCATACACCCTACGAAAACCCAAGCTATGTTTGACACGCCATAAATTAGCTTATAAGTTAGTTATTAGCTTTAAAAGAATTGTCTTCAAACAAGTTGCATTTGGTCAGGGGTGGATTCAAAAACTAGACTCAAATAATAGTGAGGGTGGGTTAAATGGTAAAAATGGAAAAGTTTACACTATAAGAATTAAGAAAAAAATTGGTTGCCCTGAGATTCAACCAACTAATTGACTAAATACGTAGTATACATCTGCTCTTGCATGTGGTAGGCGAATTTATTTAACAAGATTCTTTGTTCAATTAAGTTACATGAGTTTTTCCATTTTTAGTCTCGTATTATATAGAACTATTTTTAGCATATCCTATTTTGTTATTTTGTATTTTAGAGCTAGCTTATTGGCTTATAATAAGCCTAATGCACCAGATACTATATACTTTCTGAAATCAACTACTCCCTCCGTCCCATAATTATCTTCATTCTTTCCTTTTTGGTCCGTCCCAAATTTATCTCCTCTTTCCCTTTTTAGCAAAGGATTTGTGGTTCACAACCATTCTTACACATTTCTCTCTCCTCTGCACAACTCTCCACCACACATTTCCCACTTTCTTAATCTCCGTGCCCAGTCAAAACCGAAGTTAATTCTGGGACGGAGGGAGTAATTTATTAATTATGAGCTATCAATTAAACGTTAATACTTACTAATTAACTATTCTGTCACTTATCAGCTGTTTTACTAAACAAAGCTTTAATGACCAACTTACTTAGATGCAGTATTTAGAGAGCCCTATTATAGTTCAATTTTGAGTCTGTACTAACTTTCTGCAGTTAAATTATTTGTATATTGTTCTAAATTATCTTAAGAGCTGGTTTAGTGGGATAAGTAATCTAAATCAGGAATTTAGCTTAAATTTAATGGGTATTAATGACTTTTTAATCAATTAAATGAAACATTGTCTAATGTTTAAGGGTGGAAGGGTCATTTATCTCCACTTCATCTATCCCCTACTCCATTTGTTGCAGGGATCAAATTTAACTTCTGGACGATTGTTTTATTAATATGAAACTTTTGCTATACTACAACAACAACATCCAAGCCTTAATCCCAAAAGATATTGTGGTCGGTTAACATTATCAATACATGATATCACCGCTAAAAGGAAAAGAAGGAAATGTGAGTCATAAATGTGAGCCATTTTGCTATATTCCATCATATTCCCAAGTCAAAAAATAGTGAGTCTTAGGCTCCATTGGAAATGATGGAGCCTTCGTACCAAAGTACCAAACAAAATAAATTTGGAACAGCATATCATCAACCAGCCATTCAATCCTCTGCTGTTATATTTCCATTTCGTCCTAAGATTTGTGGATTTTCCTTATCTATTATTTGTGAAGCAGGGAAATACATGCAAAAATGTCTGGAATATATCATACCAACATGCTCGGGCTCAGTCCCGGACCCTTAGTTCTACTAGGTAAGGCTTGGAATGCTTAAAAAGACACTTCTTTGCTGTTTTATCTTTCCTCTATTCACATAATTTTGTCTTGCATAAGGACAGCGGGAAGATGGATCCTAGAAATAAAGGTGAATGTTTGGAGAGGGAAAACAACGTTTCAGCTTGCGAATGTGGGTTTGCATTATTGGACTCTTGCTTCTTTAGTGACAAAAAGGTATTTATTTGTTTCTACAAGACTGCATTTGGAACTTTCTCTATTGAAGATGGAGCTTTCATTAGTTTCCTATCATGTGATGTGATTGGATTTGAAGAAAAATAGGATGGGAGAAAAGAATTAATATTTGACTTGTTAATTTTGGAGAGAAGAGATTTATTATGTTGCAATTTACTAATCGCACAGACTATTCACACACATCTTGAAGATAAATGGCATAATTCCTTTTTGCTTGATTTCTTTATTTGCAAGTTCGAAGCAAGAAAAGTCACAAGGAGCATGCAGTTTTTCAATAAAAAATTCCTTCTATTGCTATCTAGATTTGCATACTTCTTGTTCTTCCCTGTATGCCCCACCATAGCCAAGCCTTCGAAATCCCAGTCTTCCCTCCCACTTGCTCGTGATGAGATCTTACATGCAAGTTGCTAGAATCACTATCTTTGTCCTGTCTTTCATTTTTCATTCAACTAAGTTTTGTCCATGCTCCTACATCTTGTAGTATTTGTGTCTTTCAAATTCATTCATACTTTATCAATTCAATATAAAACACATATCTACACCTTCATTAATATTTGTACCACTTCCTCATGTTCCAAAGATAGTGAGGAGATAGTACTTATTCTGTGAAACTAACAAATACAGAAATACTACCTTCGTCCCCCTAACATTGGGACAAAAGGGAGTGGTGCGGTTATTAAGAATAGTGAAGTTGTGTAGTTTGTATTAAATTGATAAAGTGAATAAAATAAGGATGAATTGTAATCACCAAAATATTACCAAATATGGTATGAGACAAATTTAGTGGGACAGACGAAAAAGGGAAAGTAGGACAAAAATGGAGGGACGGAGGGAGTATCTCATTACGAGTTTAATGAAGATGATTAATTTCACATTATGATGTAATATTTGTTAATTCACAGAAAAAGTATACATAGTATAAAATAGTAAATCACAACATAGTAAAATTATGTCCTTCCAAAAATAACAAGTCAGATATTTAATTTTTTTTCTCTCACAATAATTGTCACTGGAAACATGACATTTCGCCAAAAAAGAATTTTCTTGTGGAACATATTGAGGCATATTCATATCTAATTAACAAGTTTATAAATGTATTGTCACTCAGGAAGAAATTAGTATTCCCACAATGAGAGTCACTTATAAAGCTCAAAAAACCAAATGCTATCTTTCTCATATTTTCTTTAAGGGCCTCACATATTTTGCTCGAAAAACCACGCTTAATGTGAGCAAGATGAAGTATTTGTGAGAAGTTATTTTTTCCCAGTATAAATATCACATTTCCTTTCCTATTTAGAGTGAGAACTAGAAGAGGAAAATAACATAATTTTCCATTCCTTCCTCTTCTATGTTCTTCCCAAACAACGGAAAATCATAAGCTTCTACTTCTACTCTCATATAAGTAGTATATTTTTTCTTTCCTCGCATACTTTCCTCATTCTGGGCACAGCCCCGTAAGTGTGTGACTGTGTGAATCAGAGACAATGCAACCTTTTTTCAGTCTCTTAACATAACAAAGTCCTTACAGTGGAGGTTTGAGATTTTTTTGGTTTCCTACCTTTTAGATGCTTGAGATTGAAAAGGGTGCAAAGGAATTAAATACTCCTATCATACGAGCCAACCGGGAGTTAGTTGCATCTGTCAATGGAGGGTTGCATAATCCATCTCCTTTGGTTTTCAATGCTGCTTGGAGTGACCTACATTTGCAGCACATGACAACAAGTAGATTTTCTTATCCGTCTCCCTCTGATGTACAAAGGCCGGAAAATGACGAAGATATTGCCTTTATGAGTGTATGTCCCAAACTACCTCATACTTCTTTACTATGGCTTTGTTAGGTACTTAGGTAATTATATAGCTGATATCAGCTAGCTGGTGGTGAAACACTACGGGAGGTTCTAATTGGAAAACAAGATGCAGGCATCAAACATCACAAATGCTAGGACTGCTTTTTAGTTTCTTTGGCCCAGCAAGATGATTCAAAACTCATTTACCAAACATTTTGTTTAGCTGATTTTACTAGTCAAACATTTACAGTTGGTCAAAACAACCAAACACAGCCCCATATAATGATCTTCTCTTTATTGAAGGAAAGAAATAATTTGCATTTAAGACATAATATTATAATTAGCTGTTACATATCTCTGCTATTTAATATAGTATTATTACTTACCTTATATACGTGATTAGTACATGTATAAATAGCAGCTATTGTAAACCATTTAGACAAACAAAAATAAATTCAAAATATCCATTTCTCTCTTGTCTCTTATGGTATCAGAGCCACACGAGCTCTTTCGCCACACTCAACATGGATCTAAGCCGGTGGGAGAGTATCTCCATCACCTCCGCACCCTCGCCGACGAATTAACTCTGCCCGCCCGCCCGCCTTGTAGATGACGAGGACTTCATCATTCAAGCCTTGGAGGGACTCCCCTGAGTTTGAATCCTTTACAAACTCTATTCGAACGCGTGGAGACAACAGCTTCGGCAACATCTGCACTCTGCTCACACGCTTCAAAGCAACTTTACGGTGGGAGGAAGTCCTAGACAGTTCTGTTTCTGTGGTGACCGCTAAGACTACTGCTATAGGGGAGCCGGTCGCACTTGCTACTCGCAGAAGTCCAGCCTCGTCAAATACTGCATCTGTATTGGGCCCTGGACCGTCTGCTCAAATTCACAACCAGCCCAACAACAACAACATCCAAGCCTTAGTTCCAAAAGATATTGGGGTTGGCTAACATGAATCGATACATGATATCACCAAAAGGAAAAGAAAGAAAATAAAGATAAAAAAAAGATAAGCTATTATAAAAAGATAATACTATCCTCCGTTCTTTAATTCTTGCAACAGATTGACTTTCACGTTTGCCAACGCACAACTTTGACTGTAATTATATTTAATTATATATTAGTAAACATTATAAAAAGTTGATATTTGAGAAATTCACATTGATAGGAATTCAATGACATTTTATACGTAATAATTTGATTATGTAAATTAGTAGAAAATTGTGGTCAAAGTAAGGTTTGTGAATAGTGCAAAAATCACAATATTGCAAGAATTAAAGAACGGAGGAAGTATAAAAGAGATGAATATACATATAAAAGATAAAATAAAAAGGATAGAAATAATATTTATATATAAGGATAAAAGGATAAGAAATAAGAAAAAAAGGGAGAAAAGATGATACAAGATCACTCCTCCACACGAATCCCCGCCCTCTACTTTGCTCTCTCCAACGCCATACCCTCATCCAATCCAAGAAGAAGCATATCATTTCTGACTCCTCTAACCCACGTCTGTTTGGGCCTTCCTCTCCCTCTCTTTCCTGCCTCTTCTCCACACATCTCAACTCGTCTGACAGGTGCATCATGCGGTCTTCTATGCACATGACCAAACCACCGCAGGCGCGACTCCCGCATCTTATCTTCAATAGGTGCTACTCCCACCCTTTGTCTGATTGTCTCATTCCTCACGCGGTCCTTTCTACTATGCCCACACATCCAACGCAGCATGCGCATCTCTACCGCACTCATCTTTTGATTGTGACATTGTTTCACCGCCCAACACTCCGTGCCATACAGTAATGCAAACCTAATTGCTGTCCTATAAAATTCACCCTTTAGTCTAGTCGGCATACCTCGATCGCATAGAAATCTTGACGCACTCTTCCACTTCACCCACCCTGCTCTAATTCTATGGGATACATCTCCATCTAACTCACCGTTCTTCTGAATTATGGAGCCCAAGTAACGGAACATATCGCTGGCCAGTATCTCTTTACCATCTAGAGTAATTCTGCTATTACCACTGCTTCTACCTCCACCAAACTTGCACTCCATGTACTTTGTCTTGCTCCGACTTAGTCTAAAACCCTTGTTCTCCAATGTTTGTTGCCATACTTCCAACTTTGCTTTAACCCCTGATTGCGTCTCATCAATCAACATAATATCGTCGGCAAACATCATGCACCACGGTATATCGTCTTAAATTGACTTTGTAAGTTCATCCATGACAATGGCAAATAAGAAAGGGCTCAGAGCCGATCCTTGGTGCACTCTGATAGTAATAGGGAACTCTGAAGTCCTCCCTACACTAGTACGGACACTTGTAGTACAATCCTCATACATATCCATGATGATGCTGATATACTTGCGTGATATGCCTTTTCTAGCTAAGGCCCACCAAAGAACTTTTCGAGGTACCCTATCATATGCCTTTTCTAAGTCAATGAACACCAAATGAAAATCCTTGTGAGCGTCTCTATACTTCTCCATAAGTTGCCGAAGAAGTTGAATGGCCTCAGTTGTTGAGCGACCAGGCATAAAACCGAATTGATTATCTGAAATCTTCACCGTTCTTCGAAGTCTTTGCTCAATCACTCGCTCCCAAAGTTTCATGGTATGACTCATAAGCTTAATCCCTCGATAGTTGGCACATTCTTGTACATCACCTTTATTCTTAAATAAGGGAATAAGAGTACTCTTTCTCCAACTCGTTGGCATCTTGTTGTTTCTCCAAATCTTGTTGAAGAAATTTGTTAACCACTCGATGCCTCTCTCTCTCAAATTTCTCCAAGCCTCAATCGGTATGCCATCTGGACCCACTGCTTTCTTCTGCCCCATCTTCCTCAGAGCCTCTTTAACTTCCGTTGTTTGGATCCTTCTCACAAAATCACGATTTACCATACAATCTGGTATGATCAAATCACCAATATCTTGCACTTTGTTCCCGTTTAACAATGTATCAAAGTATGACCTCCACCTCTCTTTTATCTATCCATCCTCCATTAATATCCTTTGATCGACATCCTTCACACACTTAACTTTTCCGATATCTTGAGTCCTGCGATCACGAAGACGAGCAAGTCTATAAATATCTTGTTCTCCTTTCTTAAAGTCCAATTTTTCATACAACTCCTTGTTCACTTTCCCTCAAATTCACAACCAGCCCAATCGCCCAAATTACCCAACCCGGAATTCTACTAGGAGTCAGCCTAGAAACGAGCGACCCAATGCTCCTTACAACCCGAAACGATGTGGCCAGAATAATTTTGTCGTTTAGGACATCCTGCCGTCCCTTCACTAAAAGAGTTCTCTCTTCCTTAGGTATTTCTTTTCCAAATGTTGCAATAAATATTCCCTTATGTGTCTCGTGTGCTAGTATTAAAAGCTATTAATTACCGTTTGCAAAATCATCTCTTACGACTTCGGGACCCCTAGATTTAATCTATATGGATGTTTGGGCCCCCGCTTGTATTACCTCTGTTGATGGCCTTCGTTACTATGTTATTTTGTCGATCACTATACCAAATATATTTGGTTTTATACTATGACTCATAAGTCTGAAGTCACTTCACTTTTTCAACAGTTTAAAGAAATTATGGAGAACTTTTTTCAACGCACAATTATAACAGTTTACTCTGATGGGGGAGGCGAATACATTACCCGAGGGAAATTCCTATACACTTGTGGTGTTTCTCACTTACTCCCCCACACTCCAGAACACAATGGCTTTGCTGAACGTTGGCATCGTCACATTGTTGAAACTGGTATCACCTTACTTCACCATGCATCCAAGCCTCTTAAATATTGGTCTTATGTTTTCCTTTCGATAGTTTATCTCATCAATAGACAAACTACCCTCTCTCTTAACTTCTGCACCCCCTACAAAAAACTCCTCTAACAATCTCCTCATTACAATAAACTTGCTATTTTTGGGTGCTGGTGTTTCCCTTGGTTACGTCCTTATACCACTCATAAGTTAGAACCACGCTCTTAACTGTGACCAACAAAGTGTTTATCGTTTTCTTGGTCTTACCACTAACCATGTCTTTGTTAGGAGGCATGTAGTGTTTGACTCAGTCTTCCACTTCTTGACAACCACACCACCAATCTTAAATATCACCCCGAAGTCGATCTCTGACTTCAACCTTCCATGTCTTATCTTTCTATTTCAAGTACTATGGTTACGGGGACGTCTCCTTCTACTCATACCACGACTCAACAATAGTCTCTTGGTACGTCACCCACTATTTTCACCCAAAGTGACCCGCACCCCATCTCCCTTAGACCCACACCACCACAAATTATTACTTACCAATGCCGTCCCAACTCCCAAACCAAATCCTCCTGTCCCCACCCCTCATCCACCTACCACCCCTGATATCACTACCTCAACTCCACCACTCGACAACCCACCATCCAAATGTACCTACCCAATGACCTTTCGACCTCGTAAACAAGCCCATATTGCCATTCAAAACCCTTTACCCCATCACATAATTCCCACTTGTATTTTTCAAGCTATGCAAGTACTAGAATGGCGGATGACTATGTCAGTAAAATTTGATGCCTTCGTAAAACAGGGAACTTGGGATCTTGTTCCAGCTCAACCCGGTCAAAATATTGTGGGTTGTAAATGGATCTATAAAGTGAATACAAGCCGGATGGCTCCTTGGATCGTTACAAGGCTCGACTAGTGGCTAAGGGATTGATTATTCTGACACTTTCAGTTCGGTCATAAAACCGGTCACTATTTGCATTGTCTTGACTATTGGCTGGCCAGTACATCAGTTGGACGTCAACAACGCCTTCCTACATGAGACTCTTCAAGAGGAAGTTTAAATGAAGCAACCTCCTGACTTTAATGATGGTTCTGGATTTGTGTGTTGTCTTCGGAAATTCATTTATGGCCTTAAACAAGCGCCTCGGCGGGTGCGGTATCAATCTCTTAGTGAATTTCTTCTCTAACTTGGTTTTTATCAGTCTGTTGCTGATGCTAGTCTCTTCATATGTTCCTCCCATCACTCTTACATCTATGTGTTGGTTTATGTGGATGACATTATTGTTACTGGATCCGCACCAGCCATGATACATTAGACTATTGACTCCTTGGCCCACCAGTTCTCTATCAAGGATTTAGGAGTCTTACACTATTTCTTGGGGCATGCAGGTTACTCCTACACAAGGTGGACACTTTCTTGATTAACATAAATACATTATGGACTTATTAAAGATATTAAAAATGGATGAGGCTAATCCTGTGGCTACGCCGTTAGCTTCCTCTGCTTCCTTAACTATGTTTGACAGTCCAGGCTCCTGTGATACTACTCTCTATCGCCAGGTTCTTGGGTCACTTCAATACTTGAATCTCACCCGCCCAGACGTTGCTTTTGCTATTAACAAATTGGTTCAATTTATGCATAAACCTATAATTAATCATGGCAACTCACAACTACTCAAACGTCTTTTGCCATATCTACAGGGCATTGCCTCTCATGACCTCTTTCTTTGTCGCAGCATCTCACCCTCTCTCCGTGCCTTTGCTACTGCTGACTGGGCAGAGAACCCTGATGACCGTTCCTTTACCAGTGCCTATGTCATCTTTCTCGGGGAGTCCCTTATTTCTTGGAAATCAGTCAAGCAGTACATTATTGCATTATTGCTCAGTCTTCCACGGAAGCAGAATATTGAGCTCTTTCCACCGCGGCCTCTGAAATTATTTGGATTGAATCTCTCTTGTGTGAGTTATGGCACCCGCTTCTTTCTCCTCCACTCATCCTTTGTGATAACAAAGGAGCTACAACTTTTTCCGCAAATCATGTCTTCCACTCTCGCATGAAACATGTGGCTATTGACTTTCATTTTGTTCGGCAGTGGGTTCAACGCGGACTTCTTCAAGTTCATCATATCCCCTCTTCTAATCAGATAGCTGATGTTCTCACTAAACCGCTTCCTCGGCAACGCTTTATTCTTCTTAGAGACAAGCTCAGGATTCTTGGAAGTGACAGAATACCTGGCTTGCGGTGGCGTATTGTAGGAAAAAAATAATTTGTATTTAAGACATTATATTATAATTAGCTGTTACATCTCTTTCATTTAATATACTATTATTATTAGTTACCTTATATACGTGATTAGTACTTGTATAAATAACAGCTATTGTAAACCATTTAGACAAACATAAATATATTCAAAATATCCATTTCTCTCTTGTCTCTTAGTCTTCAGTGTTTCAATTAATTGAGAAATTTGACAGATTCCGGAATTGGGGGAACTCATTAAAACAAAACAAGTTACATCCGTGGAGCTTACTGGTATCTTTTTGAAACGATTAAAGAGGTATTTCCATTTTACATGAATTTTACATGAACCAGAGTCTTATGTAGAATCTTCCCTTCGGTTTGTTGCATTTTCTGGATTTGGGACTATGACAGGTATGGTCCTGTCTTGGAATCTGTGATCACACTTACCAAAGAATTAGCATATCAACAAGCTAAAGTGGCAGATCAGCTGCTTGCAAAAGGAGAATATTTGGGTATATAAGTACTTCTTATTTATTTACTTGTGTTTTCTTTGTGAGGAGGAAAGGTTAGTCTAACATTTTCTGCTGACGTGATTAAGGGTGCTTTACTACACTAATCATGCTAGCAAATAAAAAAGGTTTTCAGATTGTGTTTTCTGGTTCTTTAGTGACTCTTTAGGCCTATGAGCATAAAATTCAGTAAATTCTCACTTGCGGCAAACTGATAGGGATAAAGAAGATAAATACTATGGCCGAGTATATTGTTGAAGGAATAAATAGACTAATTAGTTGATAGTTAAATTCTGTTGTTAGCTATTAACTACTTTCAGTTAGTTGGGAAGCTTATAAATAGAATAAGGCTGGGAAGGGGAAGGCAGGCTGTTTGACTGTTTAGTCTATGCTGGGAAGATTGAGATTAATCATCTCTCTCGTTGGGACTTGGCTGTAACTCGATCACCATTAATAAAACTCTGGCTCTTTTCTTGAATTCTTACTTTGCTTTCCTGTTCAATTCTGGATACCTAGACTTGTTCTATCAGTGGTCTCAGAGCATCGTCGATCTTTGTGGATAATCTTTACTCTGCGCAAATGGATTTACGATTAAGCAAGCTGGAGAAAACTATGCATAAGAATATGGTGATCCTAGCGGACATACAGGAGAGAATCGCGACCCTGATTAGTAAATACCAGAACAGATCGCACACTTCGCATCGCTCTTCGCATCGCTCTTCGCATCGCTCTTCGCATCGCTCTTCGCATCGCTCTTCGCATCGCTCTTCGCATCGCTCTTCGCATCGCTCTTCGCATCGCTCTTCGCATCGCTTTTCACATCGCTCTTCGCTATCTGACAAACAAAGTTCGTCCCAATCGCTCACAAGTTCACAAACGGAATCGCGAACTGTTTCTCCTATTTCGCAATCGCGAACTGTTTCTTTTAGTTCGCAACCAACGGCAACAACCGGCCTCAGTCCGCCGGCACCTTTATCCGTGATCTATTCGCATCAGAATAAAACGCGATCAAGAGAGGAATATTCATGTTTGCAAGTGCTTTCGCTGGCCGTTTCTCAACCTGCGCAAGATTATCACCAGTCGACAAAGAATACCCAGTTGAAGTCCTCTGAATCAATAATCAAGAAACTGCCGGAAGAGGAAAAGAAGGAGCAATCTACTGTTACAGGAGGACCTGAAGCGGGCTCAGTTGCTGGACTCCTAAGGCATTCACAGGTGTCATCTATTTCAGGAGCCATAAACTTAGTCGATTCAAGAAAAGGATTTAAGGGGAACTTCATCATTGACAAAGAACACTGAGTTGAAGCTAGCTACATCTTCAGATCTGGAATTAGATACAAGTTATGGTATTATGCAACCTAGGAGTTATCCACAAGAAAATCCGGAAGGTATGGAAAATATAAAGAATATACTTGGGACTGTTGTATGCAAAGATAAGAGTGGTTCAATTGCTTCCTTTGCTCTCATACCTCGGAATGGAAAAGGTCCTTGTACCCTTGATTCACCTACTCACTTATGGGTTGGTCCTTTGTCCAGAGAACTCAGAATTACAAATTCTATCAATAAGAAAACAGTGGGAGTTCATGTGGGACAATATACTGAAGCCAATGAACAGGTGAAATTGAAACAAGGCTTGAAAATGGCAATGTTTTCTTCTGGTGAAGAATCTGCTTATCTGCAAGAAAACCAACTTTGGAAGTTTTACATGAGAGATAAGCTTTCCTGTTCTTTAGTTATGAGAACTGCAGCTGGAATTATGCATCTCATTACTTGCTTGCTAATGAGGTTTTCCTTCTCAAATGAGGTAGGCAAAGAATTTAAAGAGGGAGAGGTTGAAAGGTAAAGAAAAAAGTTTGCATCCAGTACAGTAGTAATTTCAGTAGGTCGTCTGAGGGTTTGCCGCGGTTCATTGCTGTGCTTACACACTAGGCTACCCTTTTCCGAAAGCTCCGAAGGACCACCTACCACTAGTCTTCGGCCGGAGGGGTTTATTGCACAAAAACGCCGGGACACAGGACCCGGAAAAGGGAAGCCCAACGAATTTCAGATGCAAAGCCCCGCACCTCATTAAGATCATATTGGCATTTCTTCTACTGCTGAAAGTTCTGTGATTTTAAATGATCTCGTACTGAAGTCCCTAGTCCATCAACCAGTTAGATATTTGGAAGGAAGAGGCGCAAGGAAGAAGAAGAAGCAGAAGATCTTGCTGTTTCCTATCATCCACCTTGAGGGCAAGGTGGATGTTTAAGGGGGGAGTATTAATAGGGATACAACTGTACTTAATAAAGAAGATAGATACTATGGCCGAGTATATTGTAGAAGGAATAAATAGACTAATTAGTTGATAGTTAAATTCTGTTGTTAGCTATTAACTAATTAGTCTATGTATTCCTTCTACATTATACTCGGCCATAGTATTTATCTTCTTTATTAAGTACAGCTGTATCCCTATCACAAACTTAGGATACACTGGAAGATGCCAAGGAAAGAAAGTAACGAAGGACATAGATGGGAAATTTGGAAGAGAAAAACAGGTGGGTGATGAAAAGTTGGTTCAAATTGAATAAATATATTATATTTTTATTTATATTTTCTGTATGAGGATTGTAAATCTTGTAAAGTCCTAATCATATATGATTTTGCTCATGTTATCCAAGTTCGGAACTAAACATAAATAAAACAAGGGGTTATGTAAAAAATATTACTAAAAAAGAGTTATGGACAAAAAGTGACCTTTTTTTTAGTTTCCAAAAATGATACTAAAAATAGACTAAGAGACCATTTGATGAGAACGGAAAATAAAAACAAATGAAATAAATCCTTGCCCAGAATAATCAACGGTAGAAACCGTTGCCCAGAGCTAAAATCCAATTCTATTAACTCATGACCAAGAATGAATTCTAACAAGGGGTATAAATACCCTTCTAGTAACAGACTCAGAAGAAACCCTAATCGAGTCCAAATTAAGTAAACCTCATTTAGGCCCAAAATAACTCTACTAAATACTCTACTGATAACAGGCCCAAATTAGAAAACATAACATAAACTTTATAATATTAAAAGTAAAACCGAAGCCCACAACTAGCCCACAAAGGTGGGCTCAAGCCCGTCCCCGCTTGCAGAAAATCGATAAAGGCCTGGATCTCAGACCCTCCTCTTCTGTACAGCCCCCCTGCTCTCCCCGCTCTCTATCAATCCATCCTCTTTCAAAATAACCTTGTTCTTAAGGTTGAAATCTGAAAACTGGGTCATAGAACTTTCTTTACTCATCCAAGTAGCATCATCCTTGAGACACTCAAAAGCACACCTCTCGTTATTAATCACCGGGTCACCCCTTAACTCGACTTGACTACCACCCCACTCAAAATTCATAGTCAATGTTTTCTAATTGGTCCGTACTTCTCGCAACGTGACCAACCAAGCTACTCCCAAAATGATGTCAATCCTGCCCAAGGCAAACACATAGCAATCTGCCTCAACAGCACACCCTGGCAATGTGCTTAGGAAGCTGTTTACACACACCCTCCAACTTTTGTCTATGCCCATCTCCCAGTTGCACCCCAAATTTGCATGTCATCTGCATGTCTTGTCTGACTGCAATCGTAATAAGGAAACCAAAGATGATGAAATAAAGTTGTGGCTTGCGCCATTGTCTATCAGAATGGTCTTCGTGCATCCCGCTACCACTCCTCGGAGTCTCAAAGTTTGGGGGCTGAAAATTCCAATCATAGAATAGAGGAGAAAATATCCCTCATCTCCTTCCGAACCTCTCTGGCCTTTTTGAACCTCTTTCTAGCCGGTTATTTCACAATAATCATGCTATTGGAGGTCCAACGCTTCATCCTCCTCAGCTATCGTTACTCGTAACGGCAGTCATGCCCTGGTGTAAATGGTTTCTTACACTTAAAGCATAATCCTTTTGCCCACAATTCTTCTAACACCTTCGGCGGAAGTCGAGTGAACCTAGAGCGTGCCGTAGACTGCCCGGACAACCTTGAATTTGTCCCTAGGGGTTGCCCAATATCTGTAGGAAACCTGCCACTCGATCCCCTTATGCTGTCACCACTCATGGCCGTGCTGTATCCCCGACTTAGACGCGAAAAATTGCCCGAACGCAATTCCGTATTGTAGGGTTGGCTTTCCATATCTCCATCTTGAAAGGACAGATTGTCCTCAATATATCTCGCCAATTCCATTGCTATCTCCAAGCTGTTTGGCAGCAGCAACCGTAAGGATCCATGAATCGGTACCTTCAGTCCGTTCATGAAATAACCCAAGTAATGATCACCGGACAGTCCGGGAACCTTACTGGCCAATTGAACAAATGAGTGTTGTATTCTTCCACTGTACCGATTTGTTTGACTTCGACAGCCGTTCGAACCTGCTGCCCTTGAATTGGGAGTCGAACCTAGCCACCAATGCTTGTGCGAATTCTTCCCTGGTTTGCACGCTCTCAGCCAGGTGACCCAATAAAGGCCAACCCCTTCCATGGCAACTGTGGAAACCCTAGTAGTATTGGGCTTAGCCCATTTTGTATATCTTGTATAGGAAACCCTAGGACTCTAAATATAGCTATAAATATAGCTTCTTGTATAGGATTTCACATGAAATATATTGAATACAATCTTATATTTCACATGGTATCAGAGACAGTGTGGCAATATTAGTGTAGTGTTTATGATTTTTTTTTTCTGCTGGTGTAATTTCCGGTCAGAATTCCGGCGTGAACAGTGTCGTCACTTTCAATTGAGTGCTTTCGGTAGTGATATCAACCTACCGCCGTGCTCAAAGGTACATCGTGACTTACCGCCGGAGGAATCACCTGCGCCGCATCATCCACGCGCCACCGCGTGCCGCTGAAGCATACTTCTGCAGTTTTTCATTTTTGCAGATCTCTCTCTTTCTGCTTATCTGGCGTTGACACCTCCAACCACCGGAAGATCCTGAGTTTCCGGCGACCAGAACGACGTAAAACTCGCCGCCGTTGACCGCTTCACGCGCTG